CCTTTAACTTCCCCCAATTTGAGGGGGTTACAAATTTTATATTGCCATTATTTTTAAACGCTTAGAGATAATACACTAAAATTTAAAATCTATTGATAAATATAAGTCTAGTTTAGAATAGTACAAAAAAAATTTTATCAACCTGTTTCCCCTCACTTTTGGGGTGGAGGTGGGGGGTGGAGTTAAAGGACTTTTTTGTTCCCAGCCTCCAATCATCTCAATTTTAAGCAAAACCTCATAACTTGAAATAATTATAAACATAAAAATGTTTATAGTTTGCTCCGTGTCTAGAAGTTAGCTACCTCAAACACCAAACAATTCTGAATCCCTCGCCGATAAAAAGATTAACATCGACACGACTAAAAACAGTTCACGCAGTTACATTGGTCCCACGTATGTAAAAAAGTCGCAAAAATTGATTGTTTTTATTTAAAAGCATTATTGATGCAATCTATATAATTTAACGATGATTCAATGTATATAGATCAATGTATATAGATCAATGTTAATCGAATGTATAGAGCACAACGTTACGAGTGCAAAATTCTATAACTTAAATAAAATCTGTCATGAAAAATAAATCTACAACCAAAACAAACATGATTGACGTCTAGATAACAATGGATTGATATAAATAAAAAATTGTCAATATTTCGCTTTTATTAGTTCAAATTTTTATTATATATTTTGATAGTCAGAGAATAGAAAAAAAACACATACTTAAACTTTTTAGTCTTTTTTGTGGATTTTTTAAGTATTAAAAATTTATAGTATTTTAATGTGACAACTTTTTCGAAAATGGCGGAAAGCATGCATATCAAGTGAAGACCCATCTTTGTATTTTTAATTCCAAATTTTTTATTGATAATCCAAATGTTCTCGTTTGCAGATAGGGTAATTTTAACTTTTGTGCAAATGATTTCTTTTCTGTTTTATGAAAAAAAACTTGCTTGGAAATGTTTGGGGAGTTACTAGAAATTATTCTAACAAATTTTTTGAGTTTGCTATTATTGAAAATTTGTCAGTTACATGTTTTCTGAAACCAACCTGAAACCAATTTGCTATAATTGAAAATATATTTAATTTTAGATTATGTTTTTTTTTATTGCAAAAGATGATAGAAATGGCCAGCCCTACCCATTTAAATACATGCTGTGTACATTTGAGAGGCGGGAGGAGGAGGGGGGGGGATAGATTATAAATATTTTTTCTACATATTTTAAATAAAAAATATTTTTATTTTTGTACTTATTTTTTAAAGATATGTTATTTTTAAGTTTTCAACCAAGATTTTTTTTTCTGTTGTCTGAAGTTTTAGACGATTATCCGCAACAACCAGTAAATTAGCTTGGCTATCTTCTTCATTTCTGAAAGTTTCAATGAAGTCTTGACCAAGTTTGATAGCTGTTCTGCACTGTCATTTAAAACAAGAAGACCAGTGACATAATTTTAAATCTTTTATAACCCGAAAATGTTTCCCAGTTTGATGAATTGATTTTCAGCCATTCTGTCTCTTTTAATGTCATTTTTAATAAATCAAAGAAAAATCAGCTTTCAGGACCAATCAAATCTTCAATTTTTTTTGTTTGATTTTTTTTGTCAGTAAAATTTTCGACACTAAGTTTTCCCGTTTTATAACTGGTAGGCTTTCTGTTTGATCTAAATTAAGAGCTATTTTATGTAGCTGATCTACAGGTAAACATTTATCAGCAAGACACATAACCACAAACCTTTCATTTAAATACCAATTGTGTTTTTCAAGTGACTTCAGAACGGTTTCTGCTGGTTTAAGACAGATTTCAGAGTATTGTATCATTTCATTAACAGCTTTTAGATCTAAAGAAGGTGCTATGGCAGGGAAAGGAGCTTTAATAAACCATGTAACATAAAATAGTGCTGTAAATGAAGCAATTTCATGAATCAGCTTTCCCTCTTGCAATGATATTATATTAGGACATAAGCTACTGAATTGTGGCTGAAGAAGGTCATATGTTAAAAAATAAACTCCCTGTGCCATAAACCTGGCATGATGCGAAGCCATTGGAAATCTAAAGTGAAAATTTTTTACTTTACCACCTAACCAAAGAACTGCATTACACTTCAGTCTTTCAAATAACTCAGCCTTTGGTCCACCTATTTTACCACCAGTAAGAACACTTGAAAAGTACTGAAATATATATACTTCAAATCATTTAACTAAATTTTAATAATAAGTTTAATCATTAAATTTATCGAGAAATTCACCATTAAATATATAAATAAATATAAAAATATTTTATAATTTTTTCAATATTTACCTTTCTATGTAATTCATAGACATGATGACGACAAGCCATCTAAAGCAAAGCTTTTCCTCCCCACTGCTCAATTAGAGTACAGACCACTTTTAGCCAACCAGTATTTGTGACTGTGGTGTCAAAGGACAGACAATCAACATAGTCAAATAGTTCCCAGTCTTTTAAAGTTTTTTAAATTGCGTTTCCAAGAGACTCGCCAGTGCCATCTTTCAAAATTAAAATATTCAAAAGTTGTGATTCTGAAAGATCTGGTGAACTGATTTGTACAGCTACTCTTTCAATTTTTTCTTTACCAAGTTCTTTCATTTCTACCATAATTTTTGAGTCAAAATGCACGGTAAGACTTTTACCCTGAGCCAATATAATAAAGTTGTCTTTAATTTTACAGGCAGTTTTGCTTATACTTAATTTTTTCTGTCTCAAAATACTTCGTTTAGAAATAGAAAAATCATCTGTTGTTCCAGAACTGTTATTTATTAGAGAAGCGAGAGTTGCACTCAGTGCAGTAGAACTTATTCCATATCGTGATGCTGTTGGAGCTAAATATTTTCCTATATTTTTGGAAACAATAAGAGGTACAAAATTAGATTTTTTAACTTTTCTAGAAGGCTGTAGATACTGTTCATCTTGGTCATTATCAAAAGTATTTAAAATTTCTGTTGTGTTTTCAAAGTTCTCAGTAACCAACTCTTTCTGTTTCCTCATGGACTCTTTTGTTCTTAGATTTTTTTTTTTCATTTCTCTTTTTGTTTTGTTTTTTACAATTTTTTGTGAAATTTTATCTTGACCTAACATTTTCTGAACACACGCTCCTTTCTGGTCGTTAAGAAAATCGACATCTTCTTTTCCAGTTTTTAAATCTTTAGTTTTATCTTTCATAATAATATCTTCACAATTGTTTTGACTTATATCAAATACCTCCTCTTTTTAAAACCAAATTTGTACTTAAACGGCTCCGGTGTTTGTTCAAACCTTTTCTTTTCTTTTCTAAGTCAACAATCTTGTCTCTAAAACAAAAATAGAAGAATGCATCAAAATTAATGTAATTTATAATAAATATATATAATTTTATGATTTTACAATTTTTACTTATATAAAATTAGTTTGAAATTGGATAAAACTAAAAATTTAAAATTATTTTAATAAAATAAAAACCTGATGTGCTTGTCAATATTAGTGTAAGGAATTCCTGCTTTTTGCCAAATTTTCTTCACCTCGTAAAGAACACATGGTAAACATTTTTGGAGCCAATCACCTATTTCAGCACATTGTGCAGTAAAAAAATTTCCTAGAGAACATGAAGTATGACTAACTGAAGAAATACTTGAAAAATCAGCTCTTTGCATAAGATCTCTGTAGTGGTAATATTGCAATACGGTTTTTTTAGTTGGCAATTGTGTGATAGGTATTGTTCCAATTCTTTTTCGAACAAGAAAAACTTATGACATATTTTTCCAAATCTATTGCTTGCTGACATTACATAATTTACACTAAAATAAAAATTTTAAAAATTGCAGATTTTTTTTAACTTAACCCCCCTCCTCGCCTTCCAAATATACACAGCATGTAATTAAATGGGTAGGGCTGACCATTTCCATCATCTTTTGCAATAAAACAAAACATAATCTAAAATTAAATATATCAGGCTACTAAAATAACACTTAAAATATCTTTGAAATATTTGTAAATGACCATACCCCCCCCCCCCCCATTATTTACAAAAATTAGAAATAATGGTATCTTTCGACCGCTGGGATCGGCCATAGAGGTACCCATAAAAAAAAAAAAAAACTATGTCGTTTTAATACATATATCAAAAGGAACCAGAAAAATTATTATGGCATTTTTTTTATTGACTTGGGTGTTTTATGCCCCACCCTATTATATATATAAATATATATATATATATATATATATATATATATATATATATATATATATATATATATATATATATATATATATATATATATATATATATATATATATATATATATATATATATATATATATATATACCTTTCATGGTACATTTTCTTTACAATTTTCACAGCTCAGATTATTCGATGATTTTGTTGCATGTTTGCATACTGTGCAGGCATTCTTTGTATTTACATTTTGAATTCTGCCCCAGAAGAGAGCTTTTAGAAAGAACTCAGTTTTATTATGTTGATATCAAAAATGGTTTTCACTTGATGAAAAAACGCTGATAACACATATCTTTAACACTAAAATTAAATGTTGATTAACCCTCAAAAGTAAGTTCTGGAAAAATATGATGTAAAAATATTATCAAAATAAACATTATTATGCACAACTTCTCAGAAACGCATCAGGCACTTTTTTTTGACTTAAGTGAAATGAAAGAAACTGTTTTACTAACGCGTGGAATGTTTTTTTGCCACATTAGGTAACATTTTTGAAAGGGAAATGTTAAATAACGGTTATGCCCCCACTTCCCCTATTTATATATAGACGTTATGTCGAAGACGCGGAAATGGCTCTTTTGAGGTTGAGAACGCGACTTCAAAAAATCAAGACGTGAAAAGTTATTCCGCATCAGTCTTATTTCGGGATTTCCCTGGCACCTTTAACGTGTCTCCACCCTTAAAAAGTAACAAGGAATTAAAAAAAAAGTAGGGTTAAAAACTACTTGCAGATTATTGGAATACGTGTTATAAGAAATTATATCGAATATAAGAAACTAATTTTTATTAAAAAATACACATTCTTCCACTTTAAGTTTTCAAGCAAGTTGTTCATGCAAAGAACAAACAAAAAAAAATCATACATAAAAAGAAAAATCATATATTACATAAAAACCATTAAAAATTAAGTAAAAAATAATTTTTTTTAATTTTCATTTTTCTTTTTAATTTAAAACTTTCTACTGCTAAAAGACAATCAATCATTGTTTCTGTTTTTTAAATACGCATGCAGCACATCAGCGTTTAATTTAAAACAAAAATAAAAATAATTCAACAAAAGTAACAGTACTATTATATTTTTGCATTATAAACAAATCTTTAACATCTTTTAGAATTAAAAAAAATTAAAGAAAAAACCATCAAAAGTTATTGGGGTTCTGATTTTGTAAGACGAGTAGATAAAGAAATAATAGTTTTATTTAAATGTTCGTTGTGTTGTTGAAGGTAACGAATCATCTCTGATTGTTTTTCTAAGATATCGTCAGTATCGTTGCTGTCTCTGTAACAAAACAAACAAAAACTATTAATTTATAAACTCGATATTTGAAACTTTTGATAAAAGTTGACAGAACGATAAAATGCTACTTTATGTAAAAAATAAAATTAGCGAGTTAAATAAAATGAATTATGCAACACTTCTTAGTCAACTTAATATATATAACACTTTTTAGTCAACTAATTAGGTATGCGACGCTTTTTAGTCAACTTATAAGGTATGCAACACTTCTTAGTCAACGTATTAAGTATGCAACACTTTTTAGTTAACTTAATGAGTTTCTTAGAAGCTGACAATATATTCCGTATTATTAATACATGTTGTGTAAGACGTGAGATGTACTTAATGAATCTATATATTTCCAAAGTGAGATTTGAAAATACATAATAATCAAAGAGTCCTTTAAATCTTATAGAATTTTGAAACAAAACAAAAGTCAGTTTGACATAAAATTGATACTATTGAGTTGAAAAATTTTAGAGTCGTACTTCATTTTCAAAAGTTCTATAAGATCTTTGGGATATTTTTTTACTAGGGATCAAAGCGAAAGATATCTTTATATAAAAAGGATTAATGGCACATAACAACACAGGATAAACATTAAATTTTTTCAAGTTTTTAGCTGCAACAAAGAATGCTGACACTTAAAATATGATTATTTGTTGAAGGTTCTTCTGGAAAGTTAATTCTAAATGATATTTGCAATTTTAATTAATGTTAAAAACTATAGCTTGGGGTTTGCAGTAACTTTCGACTCTAACAAAACTCAGTTATCTACTACAAACAGCTATCGCAATACTGTTGACATTCCTATATTCACAAATGGCAACCCTCTCACTGATTCATCTTCTTCACGTCTTCTTGAATTATCGTTCGCCGCTGACCTCTCATGAGAACGATATATACAATTAATTGAAAAGTTAGCTAAGGTTGCTTCTTTTTATTGTGTTTGCCAAATCTCTAATTTTTTCCTGTGTGGAATACTGTTGTCATATTTGGGCTGGCTGTTCTAATGATGCTTTTTCTCTTCTGAACAAGGTTCAAAAATGCATTGTAAACGTAGTTGGATCTGCTTTATCAGCTAAGATTTATGAACCTTTCTCCAATAGTCACGATTGCTGCTCAAAGGAGCATTTTCCATCTAAAATTATACTTCATCAATCTAAACTCATTCTCGCTTAACTCGTGATTTAGCAAACTTACATTTGTTGACTGTATTTGTCCATACATGCTCTAAAAACTTTTATTTGTCTACTTTTTTCCCCGCACTTCAATCCTTTGAAACTTTCTCTCATCTTTATGTTTTCTCTCAATGGTTTCCTTGCTCTTTAACTCTATTTTTTATTTTTTTGTAACTCCTAACTATATATATATATATATATATATATATATATATATATATATATATATATATATATATATATATATATATATATATATATATATAAAATATATATATATATATATATATATATATATATATATATATATATATATATATATATATATATATATATATATATACAGCTATAAAGATAAGCAAAACTTGAGAAAAGACCGCTGTCCCATCCCCTACCTTCATGACCGCCTCATATTGATGAAAATGATAATAAAATGATTTAATGATAGCATGGAAAATACGAGGCAACCTGTTACACAGCAGTTGTAAATATTGGCTACCAACAGCATTCCAACTATTTTGAAGTGATATCCATAGACCTTTTTTACCTTTTGGAGGTTTTTTTTGCATCTCTCTGACTAGGAAATTCCAAAGTAGTTCAATTGGAATGTAATCAGAATTTTGAGGTGGCTAAATCATCAACTGTATTACTTTATTTTCAGAAATTTTCTGTAAATATCCTTTCACAACTTTGGCAGTGTGTTTTGGATTTTGTTGTAAAAACAAATTTTTTACCAATAAGTTTTGTTACACAATCCAAAACATGTTCTTCTATAATATGCAAAAGACCTTGTTATTTTTTCGTTGATTTTTACAAGTTTTCTGACTTGGCCACCTCCAAAACAAACCAAAACAATTACATTGCAAGCCCTGTGTTTAACCATTTGCAGTATTCAAACAACCAGCATCCTTTATCTAGATCAACAACAAACAAAGGACTGACATTTATCGCCAAAAATTTCAACAATTAATTTATCTGTCTAATTTTTGTGTTCTTTGGCCCAATTCAGTTGTTTTTGTTTATGAACTTTAGTCTAGCATTGCTACACAACCTTTGAGATTGACACCTAGCAAATGTTATTTAACTGTTATAGTCCTTATTTTTTGTTACATGATCTTAATTGAAATCAGTGGCAATTTCTGTTGCTGCCCATTGACAAATTTGCATGGAACTCATAACTATGTATTGATCTTTATTTTTCGTGGTTGAATGAGGTCTGCCAGATTAGTGGTTATGAAACGATCCAGTTTCTTCTTTTCGTTTAATTGTTTGTTGCACACGATACTCTAATATGTCAACACGTCATACAATATTCCAATTTAAAAAGCCCAAACCATGAAAAGTATAAACAACTTTTTCCTACCCTTAAATTTTTTTTTGTCATTTGATAAAAAAAAAAGAAAAAAAAAACAAACTTAAAATTGAAAAAAAAATTTTTGTGAAATTTTTTTTTTTTTTTTTTTTTGTGAAATTTTTTTTATGAAAATATTTAAATTTTTCATAGACCAATCATAAATACTTATAAAAACTAAAGTAGTATTGAATGACGCATTACTATCTTCTGCAATAAACAAATTTTTTTATTTATACTATTTAATGTTAATATTATGAAATATTTTCATTAAAATGCCTTGAATTTAAGATCCAATAAAACTTATGGACGGTAGTGTGCGTGTGTTTGTGATGATGGAGAAACATGCTGTTGAAGACAACTAAAAATTAGATAAGTGTTTTTACTAATTTATTATTGCTCTGTTCTTTAAGAACATTGAGCACTCTATTTGTAGAACACATTAACATAATTTATATATATATATATATATATATATATATATATATATATATATATATATATATATATATATATATATATATATATATATATATATATATATATATATATATCTGCAGGAATGGGAGACGACTACCCATGCCTGCCTCCACACCTGTGTAAGCTAATTTACACAGACAAAATATAGCTAGTGCAAATAAACATTTTTTTTTTTTAAACACAAAAATTAAATGTTTTTTAGGTTGAAGCATATTTTACATAAACAAATATAGTAATAAACAAATATAGTTATAAATATTTTTTTAAAAAACATTTTCACTTCCAACAAGGCTGCTAGCAATCGATATTAAAGTTGGAAGTTACCAGAAGAGAAAAGATGAAGTTAATAATGCAAGATAAGAAATGACTTAAAAGATTGCAAATTATATGAATCAGGAAAATAAGATAAAGGGAGCGAATTCCAAAGAACTGATGTTTGAGAAAAAAACTAGATGAATAAAATTTTTAAGAGCACTTAGGAACAAAGATGGGACTTACTTGAATGATGAGTAACAAAAGAATGAATTTTAGTAAATAGCACAAGAGATGCTAGCTTTTTAGAGCATCCCCCTTTATAGTATTTATAGAAAAGAAAAAGAGAAGCAACATTACAATGTGACAATGGTTGAAGGCAGTGTTGATAGACGGCATAAATAGTCTTCTCTCCACTTTTCTTCCGCAGCAGACGGTGGCTGCCTCCCAATCAATTTTTAGGAGCAAAATTTTCATTATTTCGCCTCCAGTGGCTTCCACCTTTCTATTGGCGACCACAATCAGAGTTTTTTTTTGGAGACAAAATATTTTGGAGGCCGATGCCAATAGAGAGGGGGAAGCCGATGGTGGCCGCCTGAAGAAGAAATTTTGGGGGCAAAACCATTTGGAAGCTGCCTCCATAGCTTTTGCCTCCCAACTGGCTGTGACTCCCAAATTGGAGGCGGAAATATTTGCCTCCTGCCGGTGGATGTAATAAAAAATAACTGCACATTTGTCTTTAAGTTAACGAGAAATTAAAATATTAACTGAAAACAAATGTTAAATATTTGACATCAAAGTTTTGTTTTAAATGATTTATTAAATATTTTTTAAAAATTTTGAAAAAAAACTTATTTTGTCAGAATGGTTGTTTTATTTAATTTTATAAATTTTTGTTGTTGTTGTTGTTGTAATCTGGTAAAACTATTAGCGTAATGCAGCATGGTCGCAAATTTTTAATAAACATTAGCAGATATTTTTTCAATAACTTTTATAATATCCAATTATTAAAAATAAGTATTTGACGTAATAGCAAATGATAAAATACATAAAAATTTTAGCATGTCAACTTGTTCTAAAAAACTTTGACCAAAATCAGTCAGTTAAATTACTTATTATAACTTTTTTTTTTGTCAAAAAGATTTATTCGCCATGGGCATAGAAGTTAATTTTCCAACTTTTAACTTTTCTTTTGAATAATAAAACTAGTAATTTATTCTACTGAATTTATTAAACTAAAAAAAAAAATTAGAATTTTTTTGAATACTCAAAACTTTTGCAAATAACCATATAAAATGAAACATGATGTCATATAACATTTGTTTCTAGTTAATACTTAATTGCTTTAAAGCAAATGAGCAATTACTTTTAATTACATCCATCAGTTGGAGGCAAATGCTTCCGTTTAGCAAAATGCTAACCGCCTCCAATTTGGCGGCTACATCTAGTTGGGAGGCCACCAATGGTTTCCACCTTCCTAATGCGGTCGGCCTCCAAAATATTTTGGCTACAAAAAATAACTCTGGCTGTGGTCGCCAATAAAAGGGCAGATGCTACTGGAGCCGGAAGAAATAACAGGACCAAGGACCTAAGTATGTAACCAGTGTTACATACTTAGGTCCTTGGTCCTGTTATTTCTTCCGGCTTGGTCCTATAAAAAATTATAGGACCAAGGACCTAAGTATGTAACCAGTGTATGAATTTCTTTAAAAAACATCTTAACTCTTTCGCTATTTTTGTTAAAATCACTACCAGCCATTTTAACAAAAATATTTTCTCTGTATATTGTGACTGTATATTTTTTTGGATAACATTTGGATGACATAACTAATTTAAATTTGAACAGCAAATCTCTTTAAAAGCATAACAAATTATATATAAATAGAAAGCTAAACAAATAAAGTTAATAGCTAAATAAGTTTTTAATACGCATCATTTAACCACAAGAAAAGCAAAGCGTTTAAAACCATTTTTTTAATAAATTAAACATAAAGTTCAAAACATAACAAATTTAATGTATAACAACAATGTTTTTTATAAAAAGACTTTAGTAACACTGCTTTATTTTGAAGCTAAATTTTTTTGGAAATATTTTTTTTGATTTCTCAATATTTTTTAACTTTGTAAAGTTATAAATTCCTATAATTTTTATATAACTACACTATATAAATATTTATAAATACACAATATAAATATTTATAACTACACAATATAAATATTTATAATGACACAATATAAATATTTATAACTACACAATATAAATATTTATAATACGCAATATAAATATTTATAACTACACAATATAAATATTTATAACTACGCAATATAAATATTTATAACTACACAATGTAAATATTTATAACTACACAATATAAATAGATTAAAATATATATAATTAAAGTAGGAACTTCTAATCTATTTTATGGTTAATTTGATATATGTTTATGGTCAATATAATAATCTAATAATCAGTGCGGCACACATGCGGAAAACATGACTATGCCAATTAATGTGCTATAATATTTAATTATATAATATAATTATATAATTACTATAATAAAAATAATATAATATAAAAAAAATAGATGTAGCTATCATATGGATCATGCATATAAATCATCATGGAAAAATAGAAACCACATGGAAAAAAAAAAATCACAAAAAAACATCATGGAAAAAAAGAAATCACATGGAAAAAAAGAAATCACAAAAAATCATCATGGAAAAAAAGAAATCTCTGTCACTTCAACCAGCTAGCACATGGAATTGACGCTCAATTTCAAAATAACTGAATGCTTGAAAATTAACAAATTTATATTCTTTTAAAAATAATAATTTTAAATAAAATCAATCCATTTTTTAAATGAAAATGCAAATAACTAACATTCAAATTACCAGCTGATGTTAATAGTTTTAAAACTCTTACGTGCAATCATTTTTATTCGATTAAAAAAGTTTTATAACATTCAAGTAATTTTAAATTTTTTTTTGAAGTATCAAAACAATTTTTTATAAAATATATTTAAAAAATTTAAACTTAAAACTTAATAATAAAAGTTTTGTGAAATTATAACAATTACTTATGTTACATAAAAGTTTTGTGAAATTATAACAATTACCTATGTTACATAAAACAAAGCTTTTACTTTTTAAGAACCCTATTAAAAAAAAAACAAGTAAAAACATACAATTAGTTATCTTAAAATTTATCTGTAAATTATTTATTCATTTATTGCAATTTGCTGCCAAAACTTACGAGAAAATATATAACATTAAAAAAAAGAAAAACAAAGTGACTAAGTTCAGTTGTAAGAAAAAATATTCTTAGTTAAATACAATTACTATTATATATTATTTTAATATTATTAAAATAATTTATTAAATAATTTTATTAAAATAACAATAAAAGAAGAACTTCAATCATTCATGTAAAAAAGATTTTTACCACCATTAAAATAAATTAAACTAAGTGAAGCAAAAAAATTAATAGAGTTTACGCTATTTTAAACATTCATTGACAAAGCAAATTTTGATAACAAAACAAATTTGAACTGATTTTCAAAATTGAAATAATTTTATGAAGTACATTTTCCAAATTACATCCTGATTATTTGTCAAACTTTTTTTTTAAAACTAAAATTTTTTTTAACCACGACAGGCAAGAATTTATTTTGCGAGGTTGAAATAGGAATTTTAGTCATTTTGGCAATCGTTGACCATTGACCAGTTGTTACTTTCTATGTTGCATACAAAACATATGATATATAAAAATATTATATATAAAAATAAAGAGAAAAAGATTCTAAGATGGTTGACAATGAAAGCCAACTTTTATTTTTATCAATTTTTTTTTCTATGTTTTTATACTTGAATTTTTCTAAAAGACTTTTTTGCTACTGTTTGATGGCATTGTAAAAATGCTAGATAAAGAGGTTAAAAAAGCTATCACTGTTTTATTACATAATTTACCAAATTTTGAACAAATAACAGAATGAATAAGTTAGAAAATTTTTATGAAAAGTTTATGTATGTGTATGTGTTTGTGAACAAAGTTATAAAAAAATGCAAAAAGTAATACTTTGCTCTTTAAGTTTTTTAACTGATATGTGTTTATGCATCTGTATTTGTATAAGAATAAGTATTAACATAATTAAACTTTCAAATAATAAACATATTTAAACTTTTGCACACCAAGATATTGTGGCATTTGTCCTTATTTAGTGTGGTTTTCAGTGAGATAATCAATATAACCACACATAAATTGCATCAATGTCTGCCCATAAAATAAAGTGGTAAGCATATGGCTTAAATATGCTTTTCAAGCAACTTCAATATAAACACATTTTTTCATTCTAAATCATACATTTTTCTGTTCTTTTTCTTTTGAAGTCTCAAATTTTAGGTTTTTGACAAATCAGCTGTCAGCAGAAAATATTTTTGTTGACAATAAAAAAATACAAAAAACCAATTCCAAACAGACTTATAACATTTAAATATGATTTACTACATTAGATTTTTTTACTTTTTTATAATTATGTTTCTTATATTCCTTTTAAATTATTTTAAAATAACTCAACAGTTATACTTTTTTACAATAAATTATAAATTAATAATTACATTATAAAATGTTATTTAAATAATTCAAATAATTTAAATAAAAAAAAAAAAAAATAAAAAAAAAAAAAAAATCATTATCAAACTAAAGATTTTAAATTTTTCGCAATTTTTTGACATCCTAAAGTAATACAGTATTATTAATCAACTTTTAAAATAAACACATACTTATAACCAACATAGCTAGTAGAGCTGTCCTTTGTACAATCTTGCTGATAAGCATCAGGTAACGCACCAGCTTTGTTAAATGAAATAACATATGCTGAAAAATAAAAACCAACAAATTTGAAAAATAAACTATGAAAAAAAAAGCAACTTAAGAAAAAATTTCCAAAATAACAAAGTAACAAGAAAGAAATGACTTAATCTTCAAGTTTGTTATTTACTGAGGCACAAAGTTTTGTTTGCTAATGATTTGAATTTGATCTTAAAAAAACATGGCATACACTTATGTATTAATCTGCAGCAAACTTTAAAAACTTTAAAATTTTTAAACTTAAACAAATTATTAGAATTCTGGAAAATGTCTTACATCAGATGGCTGTGATTATAAAACTTTAATTTCTATTAGAAAACAAGTTTTTATTTTTTTATTTTATTATTTTATTTTTTTACTATGTAATATATATCTTGTGTTATGGACACATTCTCAGTAATTTTTATACAATAACTCAGATAAGAATTTAAACACTACATAAATATTGTACTGGACTTGATGAAAAGTATTAAAAACTTAAATGCTATTATGAACAATTTTTTCACCTTCTTAAACAGATGATTTTTGGGAGAAAAAAATTATTGGAACAATGAGAACGTAAGAACTTATATCATTTATATTAACTTTATCATTTACATTAACTTTATCATTTATATTAACTTTACTATTTATATTAACTTTATCATCTTAATTCTAAAAAAAAAAAATAAGAATCTGAGATTGTCATTCAACAAAGTGTCAATTTATTTGACACAAACACAACTGAACTTTATTTTTAGTTTTTAACTTTCATAACTAAATAAAAATTGCAAGTTTTTTTTAATTGTTCTTTTTCTGCAAAACTATAGCAAAGTTAAGAGTATATGTGAGAACTTGTAACTTGATTGTTAAACTTAACAAAGTTAAGAGTAGTATGCAAGAACTTGTAATTTAATTGTTTAATGGACTTAAATGGCAGTACATAGAAAAAAATCTGATAAAAAAATCTATTTATAGCAAACCTGAGACAATAAACAAATTAAGGTGCAAAAAGCATTTTTTTTTTTAAACTTTCTGATTTATTTAGACAAATGGGGTAGAAATATACCCCTTTGGTAGGGTACATATATGTATAGAAATATACCCCTTTGGTAGGGTACATAAAAGTATAGAAATATAACCCTTTGGTAGGGTACATATAAAAAAAAATCTTCATTAAAGGCTAGCAAAGAAATTATCAGAATATGATAATTGCTATATATAAAGCTATGCTAGATTCAAAAATGAAAAACACTTAATAAAAAATTACCTAAATAAATTATGCTAGAAATAAATGAGACAAATACTTCAATAGAAGCAACAATTTGATATTGTCTGACCAAAGGTAACCCTGTCTTTGTACTACTACGTGTGAAAGCTACTACAAGCAGAAGAGTTGCATTACCTGAAACAAAATATAAATTAAAAAAACAAAAAAAGAAACAGATGTCATCTACTTTCCACTAATTTCCTATTAAAAATATTTATTTAATTTTTATTTGACTAATAATCTTATTTTCAATGTAAAACAAAAATCTTTTAAATTTACGTATAACCAGATATGGTCAGAAATGATGCGCAATCATACTTGCATGTACTTCTACAAGATTAAATTTGGTATGGAGCGTATATAATATATTGTTTTTAATATATTGTTTCATATGCAAAAAACATTTATGAATGGGGTGTCAAATAAATTGAAAAATAAATACTTCATATAGGTAATACTGTATAAAAAAAAATAAAAAATGCTATTTGAATAATAAAAATATAATAAATAAAATAATCTACCATTTTCTAAAACTATTTAATTTTTAAATGAACAAATTTAAAAACAACAAAGCTGTTGTCTAAATATACATTTACAATTACTAATTAAAACCAGGGATTTATTATTACAAACACAATAGCATAAATATATACACCTTTTTTTTTGCAACTAAAAAAAAATTTTTAGTGCATTAAAAACTTCAATATGTAGGACTATAAATATTTAAAAATTTATGGTAAAAGTATTCTAGAAAAAAAAGTGGAACTTTACAATATCTTTTGATTAAATTTAGTATGTGTACTTAGGAAGTGTTTAGCATTGACAGCCCTGAAGCAGTGTAAACGCTATCTCGTCCCACAAAATAACTAGATGACAAGAATAATATAGACGCAATTAAATGAGCTTATTTATTAAATAAAAAGAATTCTAATCTAACATGGGTGCTGTTTATTATTTGATGATGTATATAAAATGTTACTTCAAACGAATTGCAGAAAAAGTTTGTCTCTCCTATATGAGGAAATATTCTACAGAAGTTTAAATATATGATGCAAGGAATAAATGCTAGGAATAAATTATAAACTTTAAATTTGCTCATTTGGCTTTAAACAATTGTGGTAAAAAGAGATTTCTGTTTATCACTTTAAAAATATTTTACATTACATCACAGATGTAATGTAAAATATTTTTACATCACAGTTCCAAAAATGTCTTGTTTCTGTGATTTATTTACAGTTGCATTTCATTTTGGTCAGGTTTAGACAGTTTTCATAAAGCTCAAACAACACTTAAATTGTAGAATACTAGCAAAGTTTGAAGTGATGCCAAAAATTGAAAACTTGCCTAATTGTCTCAAACTTTGGCCAATCAAGAAAATATTAGCCCATAATAAAGTTTAAACTGTAGAAACTAGGTTGATTTGCCAAGCACGTTAATTGCATTGAGTTAAAATGGAATATGTGGCCTGAAAATTTCTTATCAAGTGCTGTGCAGAACCTCGTGTGCTCCATCAAGGAAATATAAAAACTTTTCTGAATAAACTTTTTCTCATCTGAAATTTCTTAACAAAATAAACTTTAACTTAATATGCAACAAGGCCATTTCAACTAGTTCAGTAAAATTTTAACCCATAAAGCTATAAATTGTGCATTTTTTAGATATACACTTTATGCTTTATACCTGCCATAATCAAAACCCCTAAACTATAAGTGCGTAACTATAAGTGTATTTAAATAAGCAGTATGATGCCATACTGAAAGGTGTGCTGCTACATCAACTAAGGGTTTAGGCCTAAAAAAAATCAACCATTGTTAATTTATTAAGAACATTACTACCCCAATATAATAAATTACTGCAAAATGAGTTCAAAAAAAAGATTTACTCAATTAACAAAAACAATGTAGAAATGTTATTATGAAAAACAAACATTTTTAGATTCATTCAAAAACTTAGGAATTTATTCAAAAAAACTTGAGCAATGCATTCAAAAACTTAAATTTTTTTCAAGTCATTCAAAAACTTAAGATTTTTTTGAAGATACTTATTACTTTTTTAATCTTTCCACTTATAGACTAACTTAAAAGTTAGATATATATATATATATATATATATATATATATATATATATATATATATATATGTATTTGTATATATATGCACATATATTTGTATATATATGCACATATATTTGTATATATATGCACATATATTTGTATATATATGCACATATATTTGTATATATATGCACATATATTTGTATATTTATGCACATATATTTGTATATATATGCACATATATTTGTATATATATGAATAAATTAGTAAAAAAAACACTTATCTAATTTGAGTTTCTACTGCCATTTCCTCTTTCCGCAGGATCATCAAAAAAACTATCCTTCTTGATGATCCTGCTATTGATGGGCTTTATGATAATCTTGCTGAAGAAGAAACTGTCAGTAAAACCTTAACTTAAAAAAGTATTTTTTTTTTTACTTATATATTACTGCTCTGTTCTTTAAGAACGTTGAACAGTCTTTTTATTATATAACTAGTATATTAATTATACTAATATATATATATATATATATATATATATATATATATATATATATATATATATATATATATATATATATATATATATATATATATATTTGTGTTTATGTGTGTGTGTGTAAGTTAAGTTAATGTATTCTACAAATAGAGTCCTCGTGTTCTTAAGAAACAGAGCAATAATAAATTAGTGAAACACTTACCTAAATTTTATCTACAGTCTGGTTCACCTTCACTAGGTTTGTCAGGAACCTGGTAAAGGTGATTCAATATATATATATATATATATATATATATATATATATATATATATATATATATATATATATATATATATATATATATATATATATATATATATATATATATATATATATATATATATATATATATATATATATATATATATATATATATATATATATATATATATATATATATATATATATATATATATATATGTATATATATGTATATATATATATATATATATATATATATATATATATATATATATATATATATATATATATATGTATATATATATATATATATATATATATATATATATATATATATATATATATATGTATATATATATATATATATATATATATATATATATAATAATATTAATAATAATAATAATAACAATAATAATAATAATAATAATAATAATAATAATAATAATAATAATAATAATAATAATAATGAAGAAGAAGAAGAAGAAGAAGAAGAAGAAGAAGAAGAAGAAGAAGAAGAAGAAGTATTTTTCACATTTATTCAAATAACTAAAAAAAGTTATAGAAAAAGAAATGCCTGATAGTTGCTGTGTAGTAGGATGTGTAAATAGTAGAAGTAATAAAAGTTTGTTCAGTTTTTACTGCATTCCAAGTGGTCATTCACCAAATGAAGTTAAAAGATGACAGCTTTGGTTGAATGCTCTTCATCGCAAAAACTGGCCTGATAAAATGATAAAAAATGCTCGTGTATGCAGTTAACACTATGTTTCAGGTCTTTTTTCAGTTCTGATTTGTTTGCTTTTTAATCAATATAATTTACATTTAAATCTATAAAATATGAGTACATTGATAAAAACAGTGCATACAGTATTAATACAATTTTAATTATACAAATAACAGTAGTAAGAGTAATTACTAGTTCCTCTTTATTTAATTGTATGTAATTATTATTTCTTAAACCTATTTATTGTAACAAAATCATCTTCATTTTATATATTATTTATAGGTAAACGGTCTGATGAACCTAGTCATCCAGATTATGTACCTTCGATTTTTATGTATAAATCCAACAGTTTAAATCATAGACTATTAGAGCGATATCAAAGATACCGATTACGAGAAAAGAAACAAAAATCGTTTTTTGGAAATAATTTTGTTACTGAACAAACAGAAAATGCTGAAAATGAAGAGTGCTCTGTATTTTTTGAAAATGAAGAGTTTTCTGAAAATAATACTGAAGAAGAATCTGTATTGTTTAAAAGTGTTGGTATCCAATGTGATTTAAGCATAGAAGAATTATTAAAAGAGAAAAATCAAAGATTAGACATGGAATTACGTGATAGAAACATGGAAATTTATCTTTTGCGACAAGAAAATGAAAAACTTAAAAAAAGGGATTCATCTTTCAGTATTGAAAACTTTAAAGAAAACAATGCTCATTTAAATTTTTTTACAGGGCTACCAAATATGGCAACATTTCTATGGATTCTTTCTTTATTGACAAGGACAGATGGTGTAAAACATTGTTCATCTTGTTTATCAAAGGAAAACCATTTGTTAATAATACTTATGAAGTTGTGAATTGGGCTCCTAAATAAAGATATTGCTTTTCGTTTTAGTGTCTGTGAAAGTGTAATATCCAGAGTTTTGAGAAATTGGCTGCCAAACCTAGCAACTTGCTTACAACCGTTAATAAAATGGCCTAATAAATGTGTAATAAAAAGTAACCTAGCTGAGTGTTTTAAAAAGAAGTTTAGAGACTGTGTGTGTATAATTGACTGCTATGAGATTTTTATTAAGAGACCATCAAATCTAACAACTCGAGCTCAATCATGGTCAAATTACAAACACAACAATACAATTAAATATTTAATAAGAATCAGTCCAACAGGTGTAACTACTTTCTTGTCTGGTGGTTGGGGAGGCAGAGTTTCAGACAAAGAGCTAACAAATCAATCAGGCTTTCTCAAATATATAAATTTTTGAGATTGCATTTTAGCAGATAGGGGATTCCTAATTAAAGATGAGCTTGCAGAGAAAGGAGCAAACCTTTATATTCCAGCATTTTTAAAAGGGAAACAACAGTTAAGTCCGCAAGAAATTGGAACTTCAAGACAACTGTTAAATGTAAGAATACACGTTGAACGCATTATTGGCAGAGTAAAACAATTTAGAATTTTACAAAAACCACTGTTCCGATTAAAGAAATAGATGTTTTAGATGATATAATGATTGTGATATCAGCCCTTGTTAATTTAAAAAAAAGTATTATCAAGTAACGCTATAATACTTGTTAATTTTATAAATTATGTTATCACAGTAAAGTTATAAATCATGTTAT